ATCTTGGAGCCGATTCATGAGCTCTTGTAGAAAACGCTGTTCGCTTCACGACACGCTCCGCCCGTTGTGGGCGGGCCTCTGTTCACATCATGCGTGCTGGAAATCCTTATACATTGCTCCCCTGCACTAATTTCGTTTCTGGTCTGTAGGCTTCTTCTTAACCGAGTTATGAATATTTTCACTGAGCACCGCTTTTTTAGAGAACGCCCCGCCCACCGAGGGTGGGTCTCCTCAGTTCGATCTGGCTTACCAACGCACACCTATACCCACTTTTGTCCCGGTCTCGAGGCTGTTTTGTGACTGAATTTGAAATCATGGTCCTCAGTACCACTCATTTCGACGCACGCCACGCCCACTGTGGGCGGGGCTCCGCTTAGGTAATGTATGTTTTTTACTTCTCGAGATATGGTACACCCATCCCAAACTTGACCTGGACCCTGTAGGTTGTTGTTCGCTTAATACCGGAATTTCGTGACAGACAGACAGACAGACTTAGCGCATTATATATAGTAGGGATGTTTCGTATGCATCTTGCTTTCATTCGTGTTTTTTTTTAGTTTAGATTTCTTTCCTGCCTGAATCAATATTTTCAGTTGTTCCTGAAACGGTAGCGTTTTGCGTTCGCATCCGGACGGTCAGCCCCAGGTGAGGTGTCAGTGAGCAAAGACAGTCACTGATAGCCTCACTTGGGGCTGACCCAAAAAGGAAATCGTTTCAAGGTTTCAAGCAAAAAAAAACAAGAACGAAGCAAGAAAGCGCACAAAACATTTTAAAAAATGGAAAGGATGTATCTACTGTAAATGTGATTATCTATCGGAGGCCAACAATTGAACGCCTAGTACGCATCATGCGCCAGGGCGCGTGTTGACGCTCTTCACTCTCTCCGCACCGTCTGCACCGTCTGCACGGACCGCACTGGCGCAAAGTATGAAAGCACCCTACAAGGTTATCGAAGAGTTTTTGTGGAGAAGCGCTATTCCTTAAGAGCACGATTGACAATTCCTGGACAGTCATTGGCGCGTGAGTGTGGATCAGGATCATTGTACTGAATGCATACCACACGTGCTCCATAGATTTGAATAAGTGAATGAGGGAAGCGGAGAGGCTCCATCAGTCGCCAAAGATCCTCACAATCCAACGCCTAGGCTGCCCGATGCGCTCGCACATTACCATTCATACTAATGGAGTTAGGATACACGCACCACCTGAAAGATGCACATGAAAGAAGGGTACAAGCGTCACAATCACGTTGATCAGAAAGTGTAACGCGATCACGAGTTGGGGATCAGTACGCCCCGACAACTTTATGCCTCCCCACATCATGTCGCATGGACTATCAAAACAATCATGTTAAACGATGGTCCTGGGTGCATTACACGTTCCTATTCTCGCCATATGCGGGTAAGTCCAGAATCACTACTCACACTCAATTTGCTCTAACTGAGAAGAGCACGCGATCTTCCAAATCAGTGGTCAATTCTAAATATTCTCAATGTCTCGGTACCTAGGAAATGTGCCGATGTGCTAATTTCAGTGAACATCAATACTGTCGGTTGGGTGAAGATTGTCATCCCTATGCGGTCACTGTACGTCCAGGCTGAAATTGTATGCTTCACAGTCTTGACAACCGTTTTCAAACGTGCAGCTTGCGACTGATGTGGGCCAATTCCAACCTGTTGCAACTAGTAGCTATCATTTGCTGCTGCCGCTGTGGTCCATATTGCTGTCTATGCGCACAAAACAATGCTGTGAGCAACACCAAACTCCTGGACCACACTCTTACAAATCTTCCTTCTTTCAGTTTCCCGGTGATTCTTCCTCGCGTGAAGTCACCCTAGTGTTGTCTCTGAGACTTGCTGTAATCAAGAACACCACTACATTCCACAGTCACTTCTCCCTGCTCAGTACACTCCCTCTTGTCCTATTCCACCAACCCCTCGTTCTGCGTGACCACTTCCTTTGGCTCCGGATTGAGACGGACTGCGCGGTGTATGAAGCTGTACACTGTGCATAACTGGAATAACTTCAGCATCATGCTTGCACAGTCTCATCCAATACCGCTGAACTTGTTAACAAGTTGTGTCACTTTATCCATCTCGTCCTTAGGTTTTGTACACTAGTGTATTATTATTGTTTTGTCATTGATTAACACGTTGACGACATCGCGCGTTTGCTTTTGCACCGCGTGGGACAAGAGCGATTTTGCGAGCGCAGCCGCCGCACACCAAATCCATGGATTTTAAGTTGTAAATCCGCAATACTTAGATGCGATGAAATGTTTTCAATGATGTTCGATCTGTCTAGCTTATCAGGAGTTACAGTAATGGAAGTTCGACCGAAATGACGTGTTAAGGCCATGAAAAGGGAAATTTTACTTAATTTCCCTTTAGTGGTTCCAAAATTAATTTGGACGTGGTTGTTTCAGTAAAAACACATATCTTCCCATACGAATAGGTTTGTATTCACTTCTGTTATTCCTTTTTATCAACATGTTTACGTTATGAAAAGAAAACGAGGAATGAATTGAACAGACATATCCGTAAGGTCTGGAAAACTCTGCCAAACTAAAGAATATTTGGCCTTTCTGTGAGCCATGTGGTTTTTAACACATTGCGTACCGTGTGCGCCACATGGCGGCGCACGACTTTCCTGCTTCGTGTGGCCGCGTGCGCCACATGGTGGCGCACGACTTCTGAATTGGTTTTCTTCACAGTGGCTGTCGATGTTCATTCCATGTTTGCGCAGATGTATGTTATCTCACTAGGAGAACAACATACTTGAGTGGGACATCTCCAGCTTGTGAGCTAATATTTTTATGTGACTAATAAGAGCCTAGGTTGCTAATTAAACTTGGTTGGTAAAGATAATTTTCTTTGAAGCAAATTCAGCAGTCACCGCAATCTAGCTGTAATCCAACTGAGCTGCAATAATGTGTTTCAGCCAAAAGCTTCGCGTAAATAAAGTGATGTGCCAGCGAAACATCAGCGTAAAGGCTTTCGGAGCGCTTCTTCCACTTAACTTGCCTTTTGGCTGTATACTTTTGAAGTCTCGTGGTTTTAGGCACTCACCTTCATAATAACCTCTACTTACTCCTACTCACGCTTGCGCTACCCTCGTATCAAAATCGATAATAAATGTTCGGCAAATTATGGGTGTAATACACCCACATCCCTTGAAGTCCAGTGGAGGGTGAAACGACGAATATCCTGTAAGGGTTTATAACCTATTGCTGTTCAATAAACATGCTTAAGCAGGTTGTGGGGTAAAGGAACGAACTTGTTGCCATCGCTTTTTTTCACCAGAACTTGGTCAGAGCAGATTTTTTGATCCCTCACTACCGCTGTTATATAATCATTCGATAGCCACTTGGAATGTTCATGACAATTCAAATAGGCAAAAATTATAACGTAGTCCTAACAAAATTGTGACTTAGCAAGACAATAAAAAAAACAAAGTGGTAAAGGACCCTCTAAGGATTTTGAAATGTTCTGTCCGTGTTGGGCATGGCACCATGTGGCGCCGGTAGGAATTGCAGCGGCAAGCGAGCTCGCCAGCGCAAAACGGTTAGGAGTACGCAATGGTGTTATTGCTAATGTGTTGACTCTTCTATTTATCTAGCTATATATGTATTATTTGTATTATAACAGGTTTAATATATATGTATATGTTAGTACATATATATTGATATATGTATCGTATATAATTAAATCATGCCTTTTAAAGGATCCGTGGCCTTTCTTTGAGCCATGTGATGTGTTTAAATATGCTAATGTATGACCTATAGAATGAGTACAAAGACCTTAGGAATAAGTCGCACAAGCGCAAGAAAAAGGGATGACTTGGGTGGGACGCGTTACCGCGTCACAATGTCCCACGAGGTGCGCAAAGTGGGACGCGTTACCGCGTCACGCTATGCCTCGTCAACGTTTTAATTATAGTGCTTATATATTATATCAAAATCTCTTGCAGAAGAAAGACTAACTGTTTTTGAGTATTGACGTTTTCAGCAAAAGGATGCGTCCCGGAAGCGAAAATGTGGTGCGGAATCGTATAACGAAGGTTGTACTTCACGAATTCCAAAACGATTAAAGAACTGGTCAGTTAAAGGAATATGAGCACTTTTCCGGATTTGTTTTTGTTTGTTAACTGCTGTTCCTGGCCGCAGTTCATTCTTGTGAAACTTCTCCGGGTGTTTCACCCAGAAAAGTTTCACAAGAATGTCGTTGAGTGTCACAAGAATGTTTTTCGTCGTTTCTTCATCGTGTGAAAAATCTTTTTATAGTAACCCTGAAGTGTGGCGTGATGCCCCAGTAGTTTACACTGATGGCGCTTGTAGCAATAATGGGAAATTTGGTGCTAAGGTAAGCCTTTTTATTTAAGAAAACGAGCTCTTGAATATCGAAACTTCTGTATTGAGTTTGTATTGTCAGAGGTATTAGGTTGGTCCATAATTTTTGAGACACTTTACATGTATTGTTGTAAAATCTTTTGATAAGTATTGAAGCTTTCCAAGATGTCCTGCAACCTAGCACACAAGCTCGCCTATCCGACAGGCTAGCCACCTCGTTTGCTTGTTGCTTTCTTTAGCTAGATTCCAATTTCTTTGAAACCTACTTCTGAGCCTCTTTCTTCATGACTTCAGATTAAGATCTTCCACGCGTCAAGCAGGGTGAAAATCGTGTCGAGTACGTGGTCGCAGAAGTACGACCCCCCCCCGAAATCGAGATCCTGGCACGACCCCCTCTAACAGAGCAAATTAATTCAATTAATAATCAAAATCAAAAAAATCCTGCAAAATAAATAAAAAAAAATCCTGCAAAATAAATCAAAAAAATCCTGCAAAATAATGTTATGGACGCTTCATCTTGTCATCTATGCACTGTCTTTCATCGCTGCACACTTTTGTGTATTTACTGAAATATCGACTCGAGGAAAGAGGCATTAACTTTGTGTGACCTCAAAGTCAGGTTCGTTCAGAAATGCACAGAAATCCTGAAGGCACGGGGTTGCGATTCAATCTTGATTCCTGCTTGAGTATATCAAAACAGCCGAGTGTATCAAAGGCCGATTCAACGGCAGCTGCGGCGCGATTGTCACTGGGTCAGATTTGCTGAAATCCCAAAAAAAACCGTCGAAATCTACACCCTCGATGAAAAGGTTGCATTCCTCCATTTCATAACCTTTGAAGCAGTTTGAGGTAGGGTTAGATAGAGCTGGATTTCGCGTTTCCAAGTATTGAAATTGCTCTGAAAGCCTTCCATGCAGAAAGATAGGGTCTCTCAAATTTCGTCGAGTAAACGTCGAGGACGCTGAAATTTTCACGCGAGTTTTTGCCACTTCAAAAGCAATATCTCTCTAAATCGTAAGATCCTGAAAAAGGAAGATAGTTTTGGAAAGCGGAAGGTTTGCGCTTTCTGATGGTCTGTTTAGCTTTCTTCTACATTCCTAGTTGAGAGATATTGCGTCGAGGATCTATCGAGGACGGATCCGGCCACCTGAAAATCCGCTCCCTCTTCACCATTGCAAGTGTGATTCGTTGGCAACGCTCGAAATGTGTCTAGAACAAAATCTTTCAACGCAAGCAATAAGAATAGGGGCAATCGTCATCATCCGATTTTGTCTGGGTATAGGCCATGCACTCGAAGTTGCAGAATCGATTGAAAGGTGTTATATGATCATGACCAGTTGACAGAAGCTGCATTGTAGTAAACGCATTTCGTAACTCCTACAACCTAAAGAACAACTTCATTTGCCCAGGGCTTTTCCTTCACGGTTGTCGTTTTTGCGACAGGGTCCCTAACAACAGTGTCATTCTCAGCGAGGTATTAAGGGAGAAGGAGCGAGCGATAGGCAGAGGAGGTGCCTTTGCAGCGCGTGCGCACATGTGGCAGTCTTCTTTGCGGGGATGCACTTTCATTCTTTGTACTGCCTTCAAATACGCCCTTCTCATGAAGGTGGAGGAATGGAGCGACTGAACCTGCAAAGAAAATTTAATATCATGTTTTTTTTCAGATATTTTCATTTTCTGCTGCGCTATACCCTCTTACCTATCTGCACCACGATACCACTGCTGTTACTGACCCCCAAGAGTACGACCCCCCATGACCCAGCCCGACAGGTACGACCCCCCTGTCGAGGATTTCCTCGACCGATATTCACCCTGGCGTCAAGCTATATGGAGAATTAAGCAGAAGGTAGTTTAGGGCACGCCCTCTCGTCCCTCGGTGCACCGGTGGTAACCTACGTTCAGGGTCCCCTCCTTTTGAATATGATCCACACTCCAACCACCCCGTGACTGGCAATCTCGATGCTCTATCCGGCGCCATTGAAAAGGAATCTGAACAAAGTAGCGCTATTTGTCAGAGCGCTTTTGGTGTGACAGGGCAGAGTACTGAGACATCTCGATAAAGTCGCTAAGGTTTGAAAATATGGAGTTTGTCTCTCACATGCTCTGAGCCGAATCAGCTCTAAACCCGATCTGACATCATCATGTTCCTATTGGTTTCCCATAGTTCCTTCGAATGACCATCCATCATACTCATCGGTGATGTGACTGGGTGCAGTGTGCTAACAATTCTGCAAGCCGCAGCTGCTTAGCTTAACACATTGCGTACCGCGTTTAAGCGAAAGATCAATTTTTGGCATTTTCCAATGCTCCTGAAGTGTTTGTACTCATTTTCAGAGCCAGGGAACAATAATTATCATCACTGATAAAAGTGTTGATAAATTAATGATGATTCATTTTCTAAAAACTTAAAAAGGTACGGAGGTTCTCTTATAACGAGGGTCTTGCAATGTGTTAAACGACCTAGGAGTTCTGACAGCGAGAACCCAACTCCCTCTCAATTCTAACTTCTCTGAGTCGTTGGCGGAATACGAGAGGGGCTTTGCGCTGGAACCGGCACCAACTAATACCAGTGTCAGTGATGAAAGAATCGTTGACAGCTTGATGGCAACGCCTTCAACTTGAAAGCAAAGGAAGACAAAATCTTTTTTTCTGAGGTCGTTCGAGCCCGCCTTGCTAAGAAAATTCCTAAAAAATTGGAGACTCGGGCGGTCAGTTCTTTTAGCTCCGCCTTGTAGCACTAATCCTGCGTCAACGAACGACTATCCGCTCTCCTCTCTCAATCACCTTCTGGAGAAGAAATCTCACTTGAATCACCATAAAGTCAAAATCGACATCCAATATTTCTTCGATCAGAACTCTATGAAATTCTACAAGAGAGACACTGAATACCCACCCTCGCATTGGTTATATGTTGGTAATAATGGTGATGTATACTGTGCTGAATAAATACATCAGAGAAATAAGATAAGCAATTAAACCGAAAAACACCAAAAAAAATTCTCAAAAAAATCTCAAAATTCTCAAGTTCTCAAAAATTATAGACCGACTAATAGTACCCTGTGCTCAGGGTCAAGCGAACCGTCGAGGAAAATTTGGAAATACGACCCCCCCCCCCTCCCTCCCCCAGAGGCCGAAGTCCATGAAACGACCCTCTTCAAAAGCCGAACTATGAAAAGGTTGTTTAATTCTCCCCCAAAACTGTTCATAAAAGCCCTGCTACCCCACCGTCCACCAAAAAATTCGTTTAAGAAGTACAAAAGTGAAAAAAAGTCAAAGAATGATCATTATTGATGAGTCCTACCAAACGAGCAAACGAGAAACAGAGCAAAAACGACAAACTAGTCACTAAAAATGGCATACTATGACAACATCTCTTCTTTATTTATTTCCTTCACAAGACTTACCAAATTCTAGTACTACACAGATTATGGTTCTCAATTTACACGCCCTTCAGTTGAAAGAAGCTTTAACCGCCTTCGCCAGCTGTGTGTTGACTGGACTTTGGCGTTGACCGTGGAGCAGCTTATTTACTATTGAAATTTGAACAAATATTCAAATGATTATAACTTTCTTCAAAGTTGACGAATTTTCAATCTGAAAGCAGATTTGGAGTTTTGTGAAGAGCTCTTTCTAATCAGTATTGAAATTACAAAAATTATAAGAAATAACAAATTTAGATCAATTAACGAGGAAAATTCATGATGAGCACGAGTTTTTACACTTTCCGAAGCCATAACTTGCTTCATTTTCGTCAAATTTGAAAAGTTAATATGGCATACAAAACTAGAAGATTTTCTCTATCAAACGGTCGCTAAAGCAGCTTCATACGTCCACGTTGAGGATTTTTGCAAAATTAACGAGGAAAATTCGTGATGAGTGCGAGTTTTTACGCTTTCCAAAGCCATAACTCCGTTCAAACTCATGCAATCTGGAAAGTTAATACGTCATCATAAACTAGAAGATTTGCTCTATTAAGGTTACTAAACTGCTAAATACGTTCAGTATTTAAAAAATGGCCACGTTGAGGATTTTTGCCCGAGTACCGCCGAAAGGTACTTTTTCGCTGCATTAGCACTATTCAACGACTATAGCTCCTTTCAGGGGCGATTACATACTAAAGTAGGAGCAGATTCGAAATCCTCGTGCTTTTCTCTTTCCAAAAAGTGTAAAAAT